TCAAAGTCAGCCTCGGCAATGGCGAGGCGCTAAGCAAGTCAGTTAAGACCCTGTCTCTAAATGAAATATAAAATAGGGCTGGGGATCTTGCTCAGTGATTGAGTACCCCTGAGTTGAATCCCCAGTACCAAAATAAATAAAGGTATTGTGTCCATCTACAACTAAAAAAATATTTATTTTTTAAAAAAGGGCTCGGTAGCTGGGCATGGTCATGCATACCTAATCCCAAGGACTAGGACTGGGTAGGCTAAAGCAGGAGGAGCTCAAATTCATTGCCAGCCCCAGCAATTCTGCCAGACCCTCAGCAACTTAGTAAGACCCTGTCTCAAAATAAAAACATAAAAAGGGTTCGGGATGTAGCTCAGTGGTAAAGTGACCCTGGGTTCAATCCCCAGTACCCAAACAAAATGATAAAAACAAAAAAAGGGTTGGGATGTAGCTCAATTGTAGAGTACTCTAGTTTTTGTTTGTTTGGTTGTTTTGCTTTTTGTAGCTTTGGTACTGTGGATTGAACCCAGGGGCACTTTACCACTGAGCTATATCCCCAGCCCTTTTCATTTTGACAAAGGGTCTTGCTAAGTTTTTGAGGTTGGCCTTGAATTTGGCAATCTTGTCTCACTCAGCCTCCTGAGTCCCTGGGATTATAGACATGGGCCACTGTGCTGGGCAAAGTACCCCTGGGTTCAATCTTCAATACTTATAAAAAAAAAAAAAAAACGTTTTTGATGAATTCTGTGAGAATTTCCACAAATTACTGAACCCAAAGAAGGAACTGAGGGAAATCTGTAGTTGATTGGTTAAAAATGTAAGTGAAACATGGTAAGGTAAAACACACTTTTAGTCAGTTACTTGGGAGGCTGAGATAGGAGTATTGCTTGGGCCCAGAAGTTCACTAGCAGGTTGGGCAACAAAAAATATGTAGGTGAAAACCCAGCATTTACGATTCAGTTTTAATAATATGGGATAAGGAGCCAGGCATGGTGGCCCAGGCCTGTTATCCCAGTGGCTCGGGAGGCTGAAGAAGGAGGATTGCAAGTTCAATGCCACCCTCAGCAAAAGTGAGGCACTAAGCAACTTAGTGAGACCCTGTCTCTAAATAAAATACAAAATAGGGCTGTGGATGTGGCTCAGTGGTCAGTACCCCTGGGTTCAATTCCTGGTACCCCCAAAAATAAAAAAATTAAAATGTGGGATAAGGTCATCCTAGCTCACAAATTCTTGGTACAATTTTTTCATATAAAATGTTGGGCACATATTTAAAACAAACTAGGCACAGCTGGGGATTTGGATCAGAATGGAACACTTGCCTGGCATGCTTAAGACCCTGGGTTTTAACACTCAGCAAAGAAAAACGAACAAACAAACAAAAGGTATTCATAGAGGACTGGGAATATAACTCAGTTGGTAGAGTACTTGCCTTCCATGCACAAAACCTTGAGTTCAATCCCAGGCACCATGAAAAAAAAATAATTAAAAATTAAAAGTCAATTTTAAAAAAAGGTATTCACGGAGACAAACTAAAAATGATTTATTGATTCCCTTTCTCAAAAGATATAAAATGGCTGGAGCCGAGCACAGTGTATATGCCTATAATCCCACTGATTTAATAGGTTAAGGCAGGAGGATCCCAAGGTTGAGGCCAGCCTCAGCAATTTATCAAGGTTTTAAGCATAATTTAGCAAGCCCCTAAGCAATTTAGCAAGACCCTGTCTCAAAAATAAAAAATCGCAGGGCATGGTGGCATATGCCTGTAATCCCAGCAGCTAGGGATTTTCTTTTTTTGTTTTTAGTACTGAAGATTGAATCAGGGGCACTTGACCACTGGGCTATATCCCAAGTCTTTTTTTTAATATATTTTTTAGACATTGATGGGTCTTTATTTTGTTCATTTGTTTATATCCGATGCTGAGAATCGAACCCAGTGCCTTACACATGCTAGGCAAGTGCTCTACCACTGAGCCACAACCCCAGCTCTTATCCCAAGCCTTTTTTTATGTTTTTATTTTGAGACAGGTCTCAGTCTGTGGCTTAAGGCCTCCCAAAATTGCTGGTTGGCCCTGAACTTGCAATTCTGTCTCAGCCTCCCCAACCACTGGGATTAAATGTGTGAGGAACTGCATCCCATTACCTTTCACATTCTTATCTCAGGTCCAAGGAATATTACATAAACAGCTCATGCTCCAGGCAAGGTGGTACAGGCCTATAATTCCAAAGACTAGAGCTAGAAGATGGCAAATTCAAGGTCAGCCTGGGTAATTTAGCAAGACCCTGTGTCAAAATAAAAAGGGCCAGGGATGTAGATTAGTGGTAAAGCACCTCTGGGTTTAATCCCCAGTATTGCAAAAAATAAAAAAAAAATAATAATAATTAAATAAAAGTGAATAGATTGATTGTGCACTTGGCTACAGGAAAATTTCCAATACTGGCTGGGGAATATCTCAATGACAGAGCATTTGCTTAGCGTGCTGGATATCCTGTCCTGGGTTCAATCCCACACTGCCATAAAACCAAAATAAATAAAAAGGAAAAATTCTAACGTAATATTGCCTATATCCAAATAACTAGAAATAAACAATGAAAAGTTAACCATGTGTAAATTAAGAATCTTTCAATAATAAGCACTGAAATAAAAACCAATATTACAAATTATCTAGAAATTAACAAAATGCAGAATATTTGGCATCAAAACAAATGATACAATAAAATAAGAATTCAGAGGTAAATTTATATACTTAAATACCTTTATAATTAATACTCAAATATTAATCTCTGGAAACCAGAAAGAAAGCAAAATAAATCCAAAATAAATTGAAAGAGGGAATAAAGTCTATGCTTAATTAACTAGAAGTAATTTAAAAAACAATCCAAATAATAAGGTCAACCTCTGTTTTTTTTAAAATTCCAAGACACATAAATTAGTAGTGAAAACATCCTTAAGCCAGGCAGGGTGGTGCACACAGGTAATCCCAGTGAAAGGGGAAGCAGCCTCAGTAACTCAGTCAAGCCTTAAGCAATTTAGTGAGATACTACCTCAACATAAACATTAGAAGTGTTGGGCATGTAGCTCAATGTTTAAGGGCTCCAGGGTTAAATACCCAGTACCAAAAACAAAAAACAAAAAACTTTAAGCCTCTATTTCAATGAGGGTATCTAATCTAAGTAAGCATCTAGAATTATCTCCAAATGACCTAGCAACTGTTGCAATACAAAGGAAATTAGGATAAAGGAGATGGGAACATGATAACATTACTAAAAACAAAAAATGATTTTTAACTCTATTTCTTTCACATGTATATAAACAAAAAAGGAAAGTAGTATTTTACAACATAGTGGCACTAAATTATCACTTCCAATAATTCTTGATTCACTTTATTTTCACTAAGGAGATAACAAATAATCAACAGTACAACAGTACAATTGAGTTGTTATTCTAAGTAGTGGTGATTTACATTCTTATCCCTTCTCTTGTAACCAAGGGCATATGAGGGACACCATTAGGATAAAACAAACTAACTGTACAATCTACACTGGCCTTCAGAGAAAGTTTAAAACAGCTAATTATTTTTAAATAGTTTTAAGCCTATCTTGGTAGCACACGCCTGTAATCCCAGGACTCAGGAGGCTCAAGCAGGAGGATTGAAAATTCAAAGCCAGCTTCAACAACTTAGTGAGGTCCTAAGCAACTTAGTGAGTTTCTGGTCTCAATATAAAACATAAAATGGCTGGGGATGTGCTCAGTGGTTGAGTGCCCCTAGGTTTAATCCCTGGTGCCAAAAAAAAAAAAGAAAGTAAATAAACAGTAAAATATAAAAAGCGTTGGGGGAAGCCAGTCACAGAGGTGAACACCTGTAATCCCAGCAACTCAGGAGGCTGAGAGGAGGATTGATTGCAAGTTCAAGGCCAAGCTCAGTAACTTAGTGAGGCCCTAAGCAACTTAGTGAGACCCTATCTCAAAATTTAAAAAAATAAAAGGGCTGGAGTGAAGCTCAGTGGTAAAGAGAAAAAAAAAAATTCTTAGCTGGGCAAAGTGGTACAAGCCTATAATCCCACCTACTAGAGAGGCTAATGCAGGGGGATGGAAAGTTACTGGCTAAACCGAGCAATTTAGCAAGACCCTGTCTCAAAATAAAAGTAAAAATGACTACGACGTAGCTCATTGGTAAAGCCCTTTCTCAACACTCAACATACACAAGGCCTGGGATCAACATCCAGAACTATAAAAAAATAAAAATAAATAAATAAACACTGATAATACTTCTCCTGAGCCATAAAATAGAAAGTTGAAAACAAACCTTATAATTTAGAGTTATAATATCCAATGATAAGAATACAGTATCCACACAAGGGCTAATACTCATAAAACACACACACAAAAAAAAAACTTCAAAGTTGATAGAGTTTAAAGAAAGGGTCTGTTGTATTCTGGGTGCAGTGGTGCAGGTCTATCATCCCAATGACTTGGAAGGCTAAGGCAGAAGGATGCCCAGCCTCAGAAACCTAAAAAGTCCCTGTCTAAAAATAAAAAACAAAAAGGGCTCCAGATATAACTCAGTAGTAATGCACCCCTGTGTCCAATCCCCAACACCAAAGGGGGGAAAAAAAGATCTGTTTTTCCTTATTATGTACATCTCCTAGTGACAGTATTCAAAACATTCTTCCATGATAGAAGAGTTATAAAGTAAATGGAATGAGATAACAGGTACTTTTAGGCTGGGTGCAGTATGGTCCATCTGTATTCCCAGCAATGCTGGAGGCTGAGGCAGTTCGAGGCCAGCCTAGACAATTTAGTGACTCTGTCTCAAAAAAGAAAAGGGGGCTGGATTTGCAGTACCAGTACCAGGGTACTTTCAAATGCTTTACTTTTGATTTTTCTTTTCTTTTTTTCTTTTAGGTATGGGATGGCCAGCGGAGGATGAAATACCAACTGGAAGATAATTGACTGGGTAAGTGAAAACCGTTATGTATTAGTGATGAACCAAAGAAGGTACTTAACCACTTACCCAGAGATTTAATTAATGTGAATGGATCGCAGGCTTCCAGAGGTCGTTCCACTGCCAGTAAGATAGTCGTGAACCTTGGGTCCCTTTTTTCACTAGTCAACAGTCACCCTCACCTACACGTGGGGTACATATCAACAAATCTTGACTGGATGAAAACCTACCTCATTCATATTGGTACCCAACCCCGGAGTTAATGGCCCCAAAAATTACAACAAAAAGCCTAACGACCTAACCCAAAGAGTTGAGAAAGTAGAGAAGGAAGCTCTGCGGGTCTCCGTAAAGACTGGGAACAATTAAAAGCCAATGGGGCTGGGCGCGGGGGCGCACGCCTGTAATCCCAGAAGCACGGGAGGCTGAGGTAGGAGGATCTAGAGTTCAAAGCCTCAAGCAACTTTGCGAGGCTCTAACAACTTAGCGAAAACCTGTCTCTAAATAAAATACAAAAAGGTCTGGGGATGTGGCTCAGTAGTTAAGTGCCTCTGAGTTCAATCCCGAGCACCGCCCCCCTCTCAAACCAACAGGGCCTACACCAACTCAATTTTCCCAACAGAACTTAGGGGCTCAAGGGACGCAACCTCAGCTAATAGGCTTCGGCTTCCACAAGGTGGCCGACGGGCCGCAGATCCATAGCCTCCCACCCGGGGGCGCTGAGAGATCTGGGGGTACCCTCCCCCAAAGTTAGTACCTGGAAAGCTGCGGCACAGAGAGCGGCTCGGAGTTCTCATTCCGGAGGCCGGGGCCTGGGACCCGCCAGCCGCGCCACCTGGCTGAGTGTTCCGCGCTCCGGGGCTGCAGTGACAGCCCAGGTCGCAGATACCTCGTGCCTGAGGAAGCTCCGGGATCGCAGCCCCCCAGGCGTTTCGCTCGCAGCACTGAGCAAGTTGTCTCAATAACTTCGACTGGTCCTTTTCAGGACTCCCCTTACCGGTCAAACGATCACTCCTGCCTTAACCCAGCAGCCGGTCGCTCCCCGGCGCCGCCATCATTAGTGTTTGTTTTCATCCGCTTCAGTGCTGGCGGTGGGGAGGGAGAGAGTTAGCGGAAATCCACCTATCCAACCTCGTCCGCACTTTCGCTACACCAAAAAAAGCACACTTAGTCCTTTGGATACCCAAAATATCCACAAAAAAGTATATCTTCTCTATAGAAGTCTTCCTAGGAAAATTTTTCATGCCCCTCAGGAGCAAAAAAATACAGAATGAGAGGTGTTTTTGAAACATCGAGACCGTTGGAGAGCCGTGTGGAATGTGCGGAGACGAAGCGTAGGCCGCGGCGGCAGCGGCAGTGAGGACGCGGCGTGGGGCGGGCGCTGACGCCAAGGGGGTGGTGCCGCTGTTGCGCCCCGTGGCAGCCTGTGTGCGGCCGCTGGTTCCGGAGGAGGGCCGGCCTGCTCTGGGTGGGTGGAGTATCCGCCTGGTAACCTGGCAGCCACAGCAAGGTGGGTGACTAGCCTTGGGACGTTTTGGCGGTCGCCATCAGACTTCGGTATCCCCCTGCCTTTTTTTTTTTTTTTTGGTAGTGGGTTTTGAACTCTGGGACACTCGACCACTGAGCCACATCCCCAGTCCTACTTTGTATTTTATTTAGAGACAGGGTCTCACTGAGTTGCTTAGCGCCTAGCCTTGCAGAAGTTGGTTTTGAACTAGAGATCCTCCTGTCTCAGCCTCCCGAGCCGCTAGGATGACAGACGTGAGCCACGGCGCCGGGACTCGGTACCCCTTGTTAACGCGCCTTTGTAAAAGTGGCGGAGTCGCCTCCTAACATGGCTCTCTCCGCCTCTCCCTTGGCGCCTTCCTTTCAAACCGACTGGACTTCCTTCCCAGCCTTTAGCCTTTCCGTTTGGATTTCTTTTGGTGAGAGCACAGCCTAATTTTATAGCAGTGCGCGTCCCCCAGACTGGGTAGTGCATTGCTAAACTTTTTTTTCCCCTCTCTCCTCCCGCGCCCTTCCGCACCCTCGTGAAACTGGTTTGACACCCCGATATCTGTCTGGTATTTATCGTGTAGACCCATGGGACTCTGGATAACAAACCTATGACTAATTCTTAACCAAGGTCGTTATGACTTCTCATCTGTTTTGTGGCTTGTATAGATAGGAGCATCCTTCTTTTATCTTGCCATAATTGTGCCATCACCCCCACTAATCTTTTGCTGTTCTCAGTTGAAATGCCAGGTGTTAAATGAACCATCGAACTTAACTCCCATTATCCTTCAAACCAGACCAAGTTTGTTGTGCAGCCATGAACTTGTAGATACAACCCCTTTTGCCTCAACAAAAATGGATGGTCTCAAAATGTGCTATTGTAGCGTTTGAGCCACTTTAATGTCTTTGGTAGGTTTCTAATTTTTTTTCTTTTAACCTTTACAGACAGAAGATTATAAATGCCAGAACCATTTAACTGGTGGTTAGCTGTTGAATTCTGACACTTCCTTAAATACCTTCCTGTACCAACATCCTCATTGGGAAGAGTTCATAAAAAGTAGCAGATAGAAGGAGAGACAACATTCACATTTGGTATGGCTATACCCATAACTGTTCTTGATTGTGATCTCTTGCTATATGGCCGAGGTCACCGGACATTGGACCGTTTTAAACTGGACGATGTAACTGATGACTACTTGATGTCTGTGTATGGGTTTCCTCGTCAATTCATTTATTATTTGGTGGAGCTCTTGGGGGCGAGTCTTTCTAGACCTACACAAAGATCCAGGGCTATTAGCCCAGAGACACAAATCCTCGCAGCATTGGGCTTTTATACCTCAGGTTCCTTCCAGACTCGAATGGGAGATGCTATTGGAATTAGTCAGGCCTCTATGAGTCGTTGTGTTGCCAATGTCACAGAAGCACTTGTGGAAAGGGCCTCACAGTTCATTCACTTTCCAACTGACGAAGCATCCACACAGGCTCTGAAAGATGAATTCTATGGGTTGGCAGGGATGCCAGGGGTGATAGGCGTGGTTGACTGTATCCATGTGGCAATCAAGGCACCAAATGCTGAAGACCTCTCCTATGTGAACCGCAAGGGTCTGCATTCTTTAAACTGCCTGATGGTGTGTGACATCAGAGGAGCACTAATGACTGTGGAGACAAACTGGCCAGGTAGCCTACAGGACTTTGCTGTGCTGCAGCAGTCTTCTCTAAGCAGTCAATTTGAAGCTGGGATGCACAAAGAGAGCTGGCTTCTTGGTAAGTCTGAAGGTATAAATCTTTGTCATAGAAAAATTATGTAGTAGAGTAGAATGAAGTATTCTACAATAGAGTCTACAGACCTGAATCTGAGTCCTTTGAAATTTTTTTAAGATCTCAGGTGAAAATGCTCTGAGCTTTAATTTTTATTCTCATTCTCCTCCTCCTCCTCCTCCTCCTTCTTCTTTTTTGCGTGTGTGTATGTGTGTGTGTGTGTGTGTGAGAGAGAGAGAGAGACAGAGAGAGAGAGAGAGAGAGAGAGAGAATGAGAGAGAGAGAGAGAGAAAAAGAAAGAGAGATATGCTGAAGCTCAAATCCAGGGCCTGCATGCCAGGCAAGTACTCTACCATTGATCTACACCCTGAGCCCCTGATCCTTAATAGTTTAAAATAATGAACATTTAAAAGACACTTACTAAGGCTGGGTGTGATGGCACATGTCTATAACCTCAGTGACTCAGAAGGCTGAGGCAAGAGGATCAAAAGTTTGAGGGTAACCTAGGCAATTTAGTAAGACCCTATCTCAAAAAATAAAACAAAGGACTGGGGCCATAGCTCAGTAGTATAGCACCTCTGGTTTCAATCTCTATTACAGGAACAACAATAAAAAAAGACATTTACTTAAATTTAAAAACATTATTTGACCCAGGTCTTCCACTTCCAAGGATTTATTTTAGATATTCATGTTCATAAGTATGCAAAACTAAATTATATATATATATGTTGTATATAAAACTTTGCACTGCCCACTAGGCATGACAGCATGCACCTGTAATCCTAGATACTCAGGAGGCTGAGGCAGATTTGTAAATTCAAAGCCAGTCTGGGAAATTTTAGGGAGACCCTGTGTCCCAATAAAAAATAAGCCAGGCTGAGTGCCATAAGCTTGTAATCCCAGCAGCTCTGGAGGCTAAAGCAAGAGGATTGCAAGTTCAAGTCCAACCTCAGCAATTTACTGAGGCCTGAAGCAACTTAGTGAGACCCTATCTCAAAAACTAAAAAGGGCTGGGGATGTAACAGCTCAGTGGTAAAGCACCCCTGGGTGTGATCCCCAAAACCCCAATACCAAACAAAACAGAAATCCCAAATCCTTGAGCCTGACAGCTTAGTTTTTAGTTTTTAGTTTAGGGTAGAGGTGGGAGAGATGGATATTGCAACATTTAAGATTGCAATTTGGTCCCAGGCCACATGCTAAGCAGGAAGAAACCTAGGAAAATATACCCATGGAATTTGAAAAAGTGGAAACTGACTACCTTAGAAATACCCTTAGAAAGTCTCCATGAGCTCTAAACAGGAAAACTAGTTTGAGAACCCCTGATTTGTATAATGTTTCACAGATTTTCAAGATAAAAAGACTCATATAATTCAGAGAAGTGGTGTTCACCTTTGATCCCACTGACTTGAGAGGCAGAGGCAAGTTTGAGGGGTTAGCCTCAGCAACTTAGTGAGACCCTCAGTAATTTAAAGAAACCCTTTCTCAAAAAAAAAAAAAAGGACTGGAGAATACAGCTCAGTGGTAAAGTGTCATCCCTGGGTTCAATCCTCATTACTAAAATAAGTAAATAAATCGTATGGCTGGGAATACATATATAGCTCAGTGGTAGAGCACTTGCCTACTCTAGTGGGAGAACCTGGGTTCAATTCCCATGCTGGGGGAAAAAAAAAAAAGCCAGGTACCTTGGCTTACATCTGTAAAGCATCTGGAGGCTGAGGCAAGAGGATTACAGGTTCAATGCCAGCCTCAGCAATTTAGCAAGGCCCTAAGGAACTTAGCAAGACCCTGTCTCAAAGTAAAAAATGAAGACAGTTGGGGATGTGGTTCAGTAATAGAGCACCCCTGAATTCAATTTCCAGAACCACAAAAAACAAAACTCAGGAATGAGAATTTTCAAGGATACATCATAGACATCCATTTTTAACAAGTGTGTTGAATGATTTTTATGATTGGAAGATAGTGGTCTCTAGAGGATGTGAGGACAGTGGAATAAACAAGGTTCATAAGAGTATGAGGAATGACAAGCTGCTCAAAAGAGGTATTTTAATGAGAGTAACAAACATTAGAAAGCTGATTGTATCTTCACACCATCAGATTTGTGAAATATTCTAGATATATCAAACTTAGAACAAGATTTTATTTCCCTTTGTTTCTTTAGCATATATTCACTTAAGAGTGTATCCCTTCCTGTCCTCATTCTCATCTATCCCTTCTGGGTGCATTACCTAAATTCTCCTCCTCTAAATATACCCACTCCTGGAAATGATTCAGCCTGAGTTCTTATTTTGTCAGTTCTTGGCCTAGTCCTGTTAAGCAGCTTTGGGTAAAATCTGCCAGAATGTCTTGTGGATGACTGATCATATAAGCAATTATAATCTGTTTAACAATTTTGATCCTAATCCCCTCTTAAGTGTTTGTTTTACAGTGATGTTCACAGTATAACCAGTTGATGATGGTGGAACATTTTAGGAAATTAATTGGGTGGCCTATATATCTCCCTCCATTTGAGGACCATACTATTTCTTAGAGAAATCATAACAAATATTATTTAACATCTCTGCTTTTAGGCATTCATCATAGATGTTTATCTTAGTTCCTTTTATGGCATTTACCATTATTTTAGTGATTCTGAATCTGAAATTAGCATTTAGTGACTAAGCTCTTCCCCTTGCCTGAGATATCAAAGGATGGATGACATATATTTTGATCTTCTTGTTTGTAAAATGAATTTAATGTCGAACCTGGTAGAGTTGGGATTGGATAATAAGAAATAATATTTAAAAAGTGTCTAGCACAACCTGACACATACCTGT